ACAGCAGAAAAAGCAGTCCGAAATGTTATAGAGAAAGATAACATAGTGGCTACTAGCTAGTAGCTAGCGGTGAGGGTCGGCATGGGCCTAAGGGGTGTCCATGGGCCTAATTAGTCAGCTTCTAGCGGAGTTCTTGCCGTTTTTCACATTTTGAAAGTAGCGCAGCCTCAAAAATCGCCTTCCGGATCGTCCGACACATTTGAGAGGTCATAGCCTTATTTTATCGCGGAATGTGCCTTTAATAAGGCTCATTCCACGCACTCCTTTCTCACAGCTCTATTAGCTGCGTTCTTCATCTATGTTAGCTGTCACATATTCATTCAGGGAGTCGTTAGGGCCGCAATTGCCAGTCACGTCACGACAATGTGCCTGGCTCGGCACAAGACCCGAACGAGGGGGTCAGAATAAAAATGAAGAGTTATCTCGGTATATCCAAGCGGATGGAGTGCCACAGGAATGACTTCCAAAAGAAGAGAGATGAGATAGGAGACAAAAGGGTAAAAAGAATGGAGCGTCTGCAAACATCATCGGGAAAGAAGGTGGAATGAGCAGTCTATAAGGCAGAATCAGATGTTGAAGATGAGGCCAAAGCTGACCAGGGGAATAGTGAGCAGATTAGCGAGCTCATCCAAACCACTGCCTTACCATTAGCGCTAGAACCACCAGTTATAATTACAGACAAAAATTTTACTGTATGTGAACTCCAGTTGTCCCACTATAGCTACTGCAGCTGACGTGTTTGTTCAAAACTTCGTTTTAGGGGTTCTTGGCGACTACTACCGTATTCTGCCACCAGGAGATTATGAAGTGATCGTTACCGCTGATGGTTACGAGCCAGCTGCTCGCAATGTAAGTTTTCTGCAACATTTTAGGGCTAGTCCTTCCTACAAAGGATCTCCATTTTCTTAATTTACTCCGTTCGCTCACCTATGGTAGATTCCCTTCCAGACTTCTTTTTGTCACCTTTCTGACCTTTTTCGACCCTCTTCCCTTTTGCTTGTTTCGACCCCAGAGCGAATGGCCTCAGACCTTGAACTTGAACATCGTAAAAACAAAAGATTATAGATCAAACCTCCTTTCTTAATAGTTATGATATGTTTTGCAGATTGCCACTCAAAGCAAACAATATCTATTCAGGTGACCGTCACTAACAAAGTCCGCGATAGCGCCATGGTTGTGGACTTTGCTCTGAAACCTCTCGCTGAACAGGAACCATCTGTAAGTTGCTAAAAGTTTATTATATTTGTGAATTTCTTTCCGCCAGAAAACTACATATTAGGTGGGATCAAGGTCAGAGTGATCAGGATGGGTACTAACCTGCTTGACCCCGTGTCTCCAATAAATTTTTGTAAGCTGAAAATGGTGTTGCTTGATACAGTATGCACAGCAAAGGAGAGAACAAATTGGGAGAAGTTGGCCAAAGCCTGCCATATCGAGTCTCGCAACGCCGAGTTTTAGAAGTGGTGAGAGGCAACCACAAGTAGGCGAATTGACCATACGAACGATTTAGCCGCGCTCTCGCTCGCTTGCGTCAAAAAAAAAGAAAAAAAAATGGTTGTGGCAAAACCCTTCTTGTCGCCCCCTTATCCATTCGCGAACGAAGCTGGTACGCCATATCGCGCATTTCCCTCTAAACCTTTTATGAAAAATTGCTCCGAATATTATATAAACTGGGGTCTAGCGCTTCAGAGTTGTAAGTGCGAACCATCTATATGCATATTCATCATAGAAAGCCGGACAATTTAAAAGATATTTTTCCGTGATTCTAAACTGTGCATCCGTCTGCTGTACAATCAGTTTTTGCGATGAGAGTGCTCGTGGTAGAAGAAGGGCGAGAAAGCGTCGTTGGGTCAACGCTCTGTTCCTTAATGCTTTCCTTGAAATGCTTGGGTAGAGATTGATAGCTGCCATGAACACCCCAACGACACATTTCAATCATACCCTTGGCGGGCTTGTTTCTGCACGGTTTATGACTATCAAGGTGTTTCTGAGGTCGCTGCGATCGAAGCAGAACGGAGCGGACTTCCAATAAACGTCTTTTGTTTTTTCCCAGTCCCCCCCCCCCCCCCCCCCCCCCGTACATATTATCAATTTCGATTGTTTTCAGGATGAAGAAATCGCTGAACTAGTCGAAGCACTTCAAGAACAACAACAAGAATAAGGATCTCTCTTTCCTCTCACATGGTGTTCCTTTCCCACCCCGAACATGATCTCAAACTGTTTCCAACTACGAGTCTGTCCCTTATTTTTACTGTTGACCCATCATCCCAGTGCGCATCCCTGTGAACATCTCTTGTACTTTGTATGATCTGCTAACAAAGAGCAATTGGCCAGTGAAACTACCACGAGCCAGAAATGTCTATCTGTGACGAGTGATAAATGTTGATGTACTGATTTGTATGAGAAAATTTTTAATGGTGAAAATACAAGGGTCATTATCTGGCAACACGTTCAATATGAGCTGCAAAATAAAGCATACTGGTAAAACCAGTCGAGGCTGATCTCCTTGACTTGCGCCATGCATTCAGTTTCCAATAGATTCGTATTTCTGCCACGTTGCGGCAACACGCAGCAACAAACCAGAACTTTAAGGAGGGGGGGGGGTAGGGAAGG